CAAATAGATTTCATATATTAAGAAGTAGAGTGATAAAATCGGATTTAAATAATAAACAGATAAAACATGACTGAGGATATACTTTCAAAACAGATAGAGTGAGGAAAGTAGTAAAAATTACCCCTAAAGGTCTAAACGGGTCGGCACAAGGCCCCAAACATGACGTACAACCCAAAATATAGTACAATCTCTAAAATATGGAATATCATAAGATTTCAAATTAAATACGTGGCTTAATAGTCGCTACGGGACGAACCAAGTCACAATCCCTACCGGTGCATGCCCATACACTTGTCACCTAGCATGTGTGTCACCTCATTTATCAAAACAATACGAAATACCAGGGTTCCATACCTTAGGTCCAGATTTACAATGGTTACTACCTCAAACGGGAAGAAATACTACTTTGCGACGCCCTTGCCTCTCGCTCGGCCTCAACTCGCGTCGAATCTACCCAAATCAGAATCATAACATTAGAATATACTAAGGAAACGAAGTCCATTGAAAATAATCAAATTATACCAAAAATCCCGAAATTGATCCAACCCGACCCGCGAGCCCACATCTCGAAGTTCGATAAAGGTCACATCAATGGAATCCTTATCCTCTCATGAGTTCATGCATACCAAGAATACCAAAATCCGAACACAAAATGACCCCTCAAATCCCTAGATTAAGGTCTCCAATTTTTAAGCCCTAACTCCCCAAATTTTAGGCTTCAAATTCCCCAAATTTCATGTTTAATTAGGTAGAAATCACAATAGGATCGAGTATTAAGTCCATAAATCTTACCTCCAAGAATTTCTCTCGAATTCCCTCTTCAATATCCCTCAAAAAGCTCCAAAACCGACTCAATAATGGTGAACTATGGCCAAAAATTGCGAAAATGGCCTTTTAAACATTTTGCCAAGCGATTTAAATTCCTTCTTCGCGAACGCGGTCAAAGCCTTGCGTTCGCGAAGCACAAAATTTCCTTTGACCAAAATCCTCTTACGCCAACACGGAAGACCCCTCGCGAACGCGATGCCTCAGCTGACCATACCTTTGTGAACACGGCTACTACTACGCGAATGCGAAGCATAGAGCTCCCCGGATCCCAGCTACCCCAAATACTTTACGCGAACGTGGGATACTCATCACGTTCGTGATGAACACTGCACCTAACCCTTCACGAATGTGGGACACCCATCGCGAATACGAAGGCCAAACTTCCTACCTCACATCCTAACCCTTCGTGAACGTGAGGGTCCTCTCGTGAACGCGAAGGCCAAATGTCTGCAACACCAACAACAAAAGTTCTACAACTTTTCCAACATGAATTTGATCTGTTCAACCACCCGAAACTTACCCGAGGCCTTCGGGACCTCAAATAAACATGCCAACATATTCCATATCCTCATTCAAACTTATTCCAACATTCAGAACACTCAAAATAACATCAAAACACCAAATTGACATCAGATTTAAGCCTAAGAATTCCAAAAACTTCCAAATTCCGCTTTCGATCAAAAAGTCTATCAAACCTCATCCGAATGACCTGAAATTTCGCACACGCATCAAAAATGACACAACGGACCTACTCCAACTTCTGGAATTCCATTCCAACCCCTATATCAAAATCTCACCTAACAACCGAAAAATGCCAAAATTCCAATTTTGCCAATTCAAGCCTAAATCTACTCCGAACCTCCAAAACATATTCCGATCATGCTCCTAAGTCCCAAACCACCTCCCGAAGCTATCCAAACCATTGGAATTCACATCCCAGCCCTCTTTCACATAAGTCAACATCTGGTTGACTTTCCAACCTAACCTTACTCAAAAGAGACTAAGTGTCTCATTCCTTTCCAAAACCTCTCTGAACCCGAACCAACCAACCCGATATCACATAATACATCTGAACAAGACAATAAGATGCAGAAATGGGGGAAACAGAGTGGTAACTCATGAAACAACCGGTCGGAACATTATATAGCCGTGCACTCTTTTGCATCGCGAACGCGAGGTTCATCGTACTTCGAGAATGCGAGGCATTTTCCGCGCTCGCGAAGAAGGGATCTCTGGTGTCACGCTCCAAACTAGGGGAGGCACGACTGGCACTTGATACTGTATTCAATCAAGTTAGCCACTAAACATACTAGCTAACTAAACTGGGGGCCCAACAGATCGGGCAACACAACATCTGAAATACTAAGCCTGGACCATTAAGGTTATGACTTGAATAACAATAAGCCATATAAACAAAGGTAGACGAGCCAAAATAATAAAGTACTAGTGACCGTAGAGGCCGCGATTAGAGACATACATGCCTACACACATATATACATGCCGAGCCTATGGGCTGGAGACTGAAAGCTGCAAAAAGAAACCTAGAATACTGTGTCCACAATAGCCTCTAAGAGTATCATAAGCACTGTAGGGACAAGGCCCTGACTATACCCAAACTATACAACAAAAGTAACCATCCTATGAAAGCTCCAGGAAAAGGTGGAGTTTACCAACTCATAGCTGAACCCCGAAATCCTAGCGGAGGGGTCGATTAGAGTCCTTACCTGGACCTGCACGCATGAAACAAAAATGCAGTTTCCCCAGGCAACGAGACATCAGTATGAATAAAAATGTACGAGTATGTAAGGAATAAAGTAAAATCATACATAGATCATGTAAAAAAAAGTAATAGAGATACCACCTGACACTGAAACTCTGATAGCCTCCATGGCCGACATCCGACCTCATAGTAATCAAATATGCATGGTATGCTCGTGTAATCGTATGTCGTGAATACATATATATTGATGCAAATGCATGATATACCTAACCAAATGCTAGCAATGGCGGCCTCTCCCGGTAGCTAACCGGTATCATATTGCCAACCTGTGGCCATCTGTACAATATATATAGTTTTTCGGGCAAATAGGCCCTTTACCTCCGATTATATCTCTAAGTCCATGCATAATATGTCATGTATGATATGAACTTTGAATGAACATAATAGTCCATAACAAGAACTTAGCCAATCTTGGCTCATTGGTACTCTTATTCTCATAATCTCATAATTACCTTCATATCGCATACAATTGTCTCGTGGAACCTTATATGTTTTTTTTAATAAGCTTGAAAACTTAACTCGACTTTTTGAAAGAGAACTTAACTCTGCAGATGTTCATAAAAAACTTAAAGTGCTTCACTTAGTCTTTATACCTGATTTCTTGATATTTAGTAAAAGAAAGAATTTCAAAAATCAAGTGTTTTAGTAGTTTAAACATAAAAATTATATTTGAGATTTTTGGAAATCGTCGTGTCACTTTAGAGATTTTAAAATAAACTTTAACAAGGAAGAAGGACTGACCGCAAATACTAAATGCCTTTATTTTTTTTAGTCACACAACCCAAAGATGAATAAGAATTCATATATATAGACATATAGTTAAGAAAGCCAACAAAATGACATATATAGATGTCAAATACCATATTTAATCGAATGAGTGAAATATCAACCTAATAGCATCATGAAAATACTTCAGCTACGATCCTAATGCCTTTCATAGAAGGTCTTTCTAGCAATAGAATAGTAAAATATCACATTTTACGTCTTAGGAATTTCCCAGAATTCGTGCTAAAAGGAAGGACGAAGCTTAGCATTAACATACCTTTCCAACAAACGTCCGAATGCCAGTACTTCCTTCACGAAAGTTGTTCCTTACGTCCTAAGCTTCGCAAAAACTATATCTATGCAGCTTATATGCACCTATATAAACAGTTCATAATTCAGTTTAAATCGGCAGATTTGCCATATGACCCTAACTTGACGAAACGTCCGTAGAACTTTGTAAAAACGATCATAAAAGAGTCCCAAGATGATTACCTTGGCAAACCAAGTATAAATCCTGAAGAACCAACAAGAACAACAAATTCCTATCTTCCAAGAATAGCTCCAAACACAGCTAATAAAAGTGGGAAAACGATTGCAAAGCGTAGAGATTGCATTTCTCGGCAGGGGGCAAACTTTAACGATAGAAATCGTCAAAAACGCACCTTAATCACTCAAGAACACCATGGACCCTTCTCTTCAGCTTGCTCACCGTTTTGGGACTAAAATGAAATGTTTTGAGGTCTTAAAAGTCGAATTTGCCAACTTATACCACTTGTTTGACCCGATCCGGTTCGCGACCCGGTTTCAGCCCGGACAGTCCGCGGTAAAACAGTTATAACCTTTTACTCCGATATTGGTTTGATGTGAGGTTTTTTGGTTGCGAACTAGACTTGTAGAACTTCGATTTGGTAGGTTGTGGGTCCCATAAATCTTTATATATTGGGAGAAATGGTCTGATACATTTGACCCAAAGTTTAGAAAATTTATTAGAGAAGTTTACGATAACTTTTGCCGACCTTTATTTCGCAACTTGTTTGACTCCAAAACTTAACATGTGACCAGTATGATATTATAATACCTCATAACACATTATTCTTAGCATATTAGACACTCTTAGTCTTATCTCACAGGTGCAAGTTAACTTAAACCTTCCGAACGCGGGGGGTGCTACCCAAGCCATTTCTTTAACCACGAACCTTTGTTTGAGGGATTCCTTTGACCTAAAGCTTTAGTTTAGTTCCTTGATATTACCACACATTTTCAGTCTTATTCTCCCAATGTGTCATACCCAATCATATATACCTAATATAACCACGCCACGTTACGTATATTACGTAAGAGAAGAGAGAAATAAATCACATGGGGTCTCATAGTCTCCCCCCTTAAGAACATTCGTCCGCGAATGGGCCAAGTCAATTCCTTGGTTTCATTTCTTTTCTGCTAATATGTTATTCGCGAGGCTATATTTGTTACATTTACCAAGCATAAATCAAATTCTGAAGATTCCAACTACTAGGCTTCGTATAGCATCTCGCAATAAGAAATTTAAATTCCACTTTCAAGTCATTTAAAATCCAATTAATTTGCTATAAAGAAATAATTGGCAATTATTTAAATGCGACTCACCTTAAGTCGTAAATATGTGGGGGTACTTCTTCCTCATTTCCTCCTCCGCTTCCCAGGTCATTTCCTCGATGTTGTTATTTCGCCATAACACTTTCACGGAAGCCACTTCTTTAGTTCGAAGCTTTCTTACTTGCCGATCTAAAATAGCCACTGGTACCTCTACATAAAATAAGTCTTCAGCAATGTGAATATCCTCAATGGGCGTAATATGTGAAGGATCTCCAATGCACTTCCGCAACATAGATACATGAAACACAGGATGGACTGCTTCTAATTCTAAAGGCAAATCAACTCGTACGCCACACCGAATAATCTTATACGGTCCAACATACCTGGGGCTGAGCTTCCCCTTCTTTCCAAATCGCATGACGCCCTTCATAGGCGATACTTTTAGGAAAACCCAACCTTCTTCATCAAATTCTAAGTCTCGTCGTCGAACATCTGCATAAGACTTCTGCCAACTTTGTGCTGTACGCAGCCGGTCTCTAATAAGTTTTACCTTTTCCATTACTTGCCGGACTAAATTAGGACCTAGAAACTCTGCTTCCCCGACCTCAAACTAACCGATCGGCGACCTACACTCCGCCCATATAGTGCTTCGTAAGGAGCCATCTGAATACTAGCTTAAAAGCTGTTATTATAAGAAAACTCAATAAGAGGTAGATGATCATCCCAACTTCCTTTAAAATCTAGAATGCAGGCACGTAACATATCCCCAACTGTCTGAATAGTACGCTTTGCCTGTCCATCAGTTTGCGGATGAAAAGTGGTGCTAAGATTTACCTGCGTGCCTAGACCCTTCTGAAAAGATTTCCAAAAATGTACTATAAATTGAGCCCCTCGATCAGAGATAATAGATAATAGCACTCCGTGAAGGTAAACAATCTCTCGAATGTAAAGCTTGGCATAATCCTCGGCTGAATGTGTCGTCCTGACTGGCAGGAAATGAGCAGAATTTTTAAGCCTATCAATAATTACACAAATAGCATCATACCTCCGTGGAGTGCGAGGCAAACCAGTGATGAAGTCCATATTTATCATGTCCCATTTCCATATTAGAAGTTCAATATACTGAGTTAGGCCTCCAGGCTTATGATGTTCGGCTTTAACTTGCTGGCAGTTGGGATATTGGGCTACCATATCTACGATATCTTTCTTCATTCCATTCCACCAATAGATCTGTCGAAGGTCCCGATACATCTTTGTCACTCCGAGGTGAACTGCATATCTAGAATAATGGGCCTCCGAAAGAATCTTGGCGCGGAGCTCTCCAACTCTCGGTACACATAAGCGGCCATGGTATCTAAGGACTCCATCTCCAGTTAGCTCAAATAAAGGTTGTCGCTATTGTGGAATATTTTCCCTCAGTTTTATAAGCTCATGATCCTCGTGTTGTTGCTCTTTCACTTCAGTAACAAAAGAAGTTTTTGCCATATTCTGAACGAGAATGCGTCCACCCTCTGTGTATACCAAACGCACCTGCAAACTAGCTAGGTGGCATAGATATTTGGTCATCTTGAACTTATCAACTTTAACATGGCTTAGACTGCCCATGGACTTCCGGCTAAGGGCATCAGCAGCAATATTAGCTTTGCCGGGATGATATAAAATATCAACATCATAGTCCTTTAGTAATTCTAGCCATTTTCTTTGTCGTAGGTTCAACTCCCTCTATTTAAATAAATACTGAAGGCTCTGGTGGTCGGTGAAAACATCAATATTAACCCCATATAGATAATGCCACCAAATCTTTAGGGCAAAGACAACTGCGGCTAACTCAAGATCGTGCGTAGGGTAGTTCTGTTCATGTTTCCGCAACTGTCTGGAGGCGTACGCGATAACCTTACCATGATACATAATAACACAACCTAGTCCAATTCTCGAGGCATCACAATATACAACATAACCCTCGGTGCCATCCAGAAGAGTCAAGACAGGTTCCTTCATAAGCCTTTTCTTTAGCTCCAGAAAACTTTGTTCACATGCCTCAGTCCACTGAAACTTAGCTCCCTTATATGTCAGTTTCGTCAATGGTGTAGAGATAGAGGAAAATCCCTCCACAACCTTCGGTAATACCCTGTCAAGCCTAAAAAGCTACGAATCTCTATCGGATTCAAGGGCCTCGGCCAAGTCATCACAACTTCAATCTTTTGGCCATCAACCTTGATACCATTGCCGGTAACAACATGACCAAGAAAAGCTACAGAAGTTAGCCAAAATTCACATTTAGAGAATTTAGCATATAACCTGTAGTCCTAGAGGGTCTGCAATACAGCTCGCAAGTGGTCCGCATGTTTGGCTTTTGATCGTGAATATATCAGGATGTCGTCAATAAACACAATCACAAATTCATCCAAGAATGCTTTGAATACCCGGTTCATAAGATCCATAAAGGCTGCTGGGGCATTTGTAAGCCCGAAAGACATGACAAGGAATTCAAAATGGCCATACCTCGTCCTAAATGCTATTTTTGGGATATCAATATCCCTGACCAGTAGCTGATGATAATCGGATCGCAAGTCGATCTTCGAAAAGCATTTGTCACCTTGTAACTAGTCAAACAAGTCATCAATCCGTGGAAGAGGATACTTATTCTTGATAGTGACTTTATTTAGTTTCCTGTAGTTAATACACATCCGCAAGGAGCCATCTTTCTTTCGAACAAAGAGCACTAGAGCACCCCATGGGGATGTACTTGGCCTAATAAAGCCTTTATTGAGCAAGTCCTTCAGTTGTTCCTTCAATTCCCTTAGCTTTGCAGGAGCCATTCTGTAGGGAGGAATGGATATAGGCTGCGTATCAGGAAGCAAATCTATAGCGAAATCATTTTCCCTTTCGGGGGGAATTCTTGGAAGCTCGTCAAGGAATACCGTCGGGAATTCATTCACAATAGGAACCGACTGAAGACTCACCGGCTCCTTATCTATATCCCTGACTTGAACCAGATGGTATATACAGTCTTTAGCAATAAACTTCGAGCCCTATGGTATGAAATAAACTTACCCTTGGGTGTGGCTGCATTACCTTTCCATTCAAGGACAGGCTCACCAGGAAAATGAAATCGGACCAACTTTGCACGACAATCAATATTAGCATAACAAGATGCCAACTAATCCATACCCATATTGACATCGAAGTCTAGCATAACCAATTCAACTAAATCAATAGAGGTTGGACGGTCATTAATTAACATTGTACAACCTTGATAGACATGATTAGCTACAATAGAGTCGCCAACTGGCGTAGACACCTCAACTGATTGTGGCAACAACTTAGATCTCAAGTCAAGCTTACCAGAAATAAATGGAGTAATTTATGAAAATGTAGAGTCGGGATTTATCAATGCATAAATGGCATGAGAATGTATTGTCAATATACTTGTGATAACATTTAGGGATGCCTCTGAATCCTGTCGGCCTGTGAGTGCATAAAAGCGGTTCTGGCCACCACTAGAACCTGAGGTGTCTCCTCCACCTCTCCCCCTACCACGACCTTGAGTAGATTATGGACCTGGTCGGGGAGCACGGACTGAGGGCGAAGAGGCTGATGTGGATCCTGAAGGCTGAGTTGGTGTACCTCTGCCTAACCTCGGGAACCGGCTAATAAAATGTCATGTTTGCCCACAATAATAACATGCACTCGAACCCTGTCGACACTGCCCGGTGTGTAGCTTACCGCACTAAGTACATGGAGGAGTAGGATATCTCATTTGTGCGGAATACTCCTATCGAAGGCCCTTAGGATGTCCTGAGCTCTACCCCAGTCCTGACTAAATATAACGATCAAACCGCTGGCCTTGCATCTGTGGTGGGAAACTACCTGCTGACCGAGGTGGATATCTATGGAGTGGGGGCCTAAAGTCACTCCATGGCTCCCTATAAGACCCCATAGTATGAGCCCTCTTACTCTACTCCTTATCCTTGCGAGTATCACGAATCCTACGGGAAAGGTCCTCTGTAGTCTGAGCAAAAGCCTGTATGTGGGAAATATCTACATCATCCGACAGGGATGCTACCCTACAGTCTCTAATCATATGATCCCCCAAACCATCCACATAATGATGAACTCTAGCCCTCATGGTACGTACGATATCTGGTGCATACCTCGCCAAAAAATTAAACTTATGGCTATAATCCCTCACACTCATATCCCCATACTTCAGGCTAAGAAACTGGTCAAGACTGGCCTCCCGAACCTCCTGTGGCAAATAATGGGATAAAAAAGCCTCGGAGAAGTCCTCCCACTCTGCTGGCGGAGCATCAGGTCCTCTAGATCTCTCTCATGCCTCATACCATAAGACGACTATCACGTAGTCGAAAAGAAGCCAACTCCATAGCCTCGGTGACAGAGGCATGAATCACCCTCAATACTCTATACATATGGTCTATAAAGTCCTGGGGATCCTCAGTGGAACTGGATCCTGTAAATAATGGAGGGGCCAAGTAAAGAAACTCTTGCACCATCGAGCTTCCTGTCCGATCTCTCCGGGCATCTGCTCCCGACTCTAGCTGTTGCTCATGAATAGAAACCATCCTAGTCAGCAACTGAACTACCTCCCTCATCCCCTGCTCCCTAGTCTCTGATGGGGGAACAACAGGTGCTGGAGGTCATGTGTCTCTAGCTGCCTCAGGTACTAATGAAATTGGTGAGGCTGGGGGTACTGCATCTCCTTGGGCTCCAACAAGTGTTGGGGAAGCTGAAACTAGGGGTACTGGAGACTCACTGTGTGCCTCTAAGGGAAATCTATCCCTCTGACCCGGTGGGGAACGACTGGTACCTTCCCCCGGATCCATACCTATCTCTCGATGTGCCATATCTTGAGCGTAGGTAGCTTGTTAGATAAGAAACACAAAGCACGATTTAGATTTCATATGTTCTTATAACTTCGCTCTATAGCACGATCTATTAATTGAAAGAAACGTAACCATTCCTAAATGCCTCATAGCCTCCTGATTATAGGTGTGGTGCACAACACACCCATAAGCAAGACTCTACTAGACACGTCTTGTGGACTCCCTGGGATACGACCTGCTCTGATACCAAGTTAGTCATGCTCCAAATTAGGGGAGGCACGACTGGCACTCGATACTGTATTCGATCGAGTTAGCCACTAAACATACTAGCTAACTAAACTGGGTGCCCAACAGATTGGGCAGCACAACATCTGAAATACTAAGCCTGGACAATTAAGGTCATGACCTGAATAACAATAAGCCATATAAACAAAGGTAGGCGAGCCAAAATAATAAAGTACTAGCTGGACGACGAGGCCACGTTTGGAGACATACATGGCTACACACATATATACATGCCAACCCTATGGGCTGGAGACTGAAAGCTGCAAAAAACCTAGAATAATGTGTCCACAATAGCCTCTAAGAATGTCATAAGCACTGTCGGGGAAAGGCCCCGACTATACCCAAACTGTACAACAAAAGTAACCATCCTATGAAAGCTCCAGGAAGAGGTGGAGCTTACCAACTCAAAGCTGAACCTCGAAATCCTAGCGGAGGGGTCGATCAGAGTCCCTACCTGGACCTGCATGCACGAAACAAAAATACAGTGTCCCCAGGCAACGGGACATCAGTACGAATAAAAATGTACTGGTATGTAAGGCAGAAAGTAGAATCATACATAACTGATGTAAAAAAAAGTAATAGAGATACCACCTAGCACTGAAACTCTGATAGACTCCATGGCCGACGTCCGACCTCATAGTAATCAAATATGCTATGCTCGTGTAATCGTATGTTGTGAATACATATATATTGATGCAAATGCATGACATACCCAACCAAATGCTAGCAATAGCGGTCTCTCCTAGTAGCTAACCGGTATCATATTGCCAACCTGTGGCCATCTGTACAATATATATAGTTTTTCGTGCAAATAGGCCCCTTACCTCCGATTATGGCTCGAAGTCCATGCATAATATACTATGTATGATATTAACTTTGAATGCACATAATAGGCCATAACAAGAACTTAGCCAATCTTGGATCATTGGTACTCTTATTCTCATAATCTAATAATTACCTTCGTATCACATACAATTGTCTCGTGGAACCTTGTATGTTTTTTTTTCTTTTTCTTTTTTTTGAATAAGCTTGAAAATTTAATTCGAATTTTAGAAAGATAAA